GCGCCTAGGCGCGCCTTTTTAAACACTAGGATGGATTCTTGCAGTCGAAGAGGCTATGTTCTTCCAAATAAATAGAAAAAGATTGAGGGAACCATGACGGTCGAAGAGGCTATGTTCTTCCAAATAAATAGAAAAAGATTGAGGGAACCATGACGAAACAGTAGCATCATTAAAGACACTTGAAAATCTGGTTTGATTAAAACCTCTCGATACATGTTAAAAGGGAAATAAGTTGAAAGATAATATCAAAACTACAATGGAAAATGAAACCATTAAAATCGGCAAAATTGACGAAATAAAGGTTTCAAAAAAATAATTCACGAGATAATGCATTAGAAGGATTAATTATTGAGATAGGGTGATTTCTACAGTCCCTACGTAGGTTGCCAAGTGCTCCGGGCGACGAAAGTGAGCTGGTGTAGGTCGACATGTCGTCCTAGCGATCTGTGGTGAGCTGGTGTAGGTCGCCATGCACGCCCAGCGTCCTACTGAAGCTGTGCATGGCCCATGCATGTTGGTCGCCCATCCCACAATAGAGGTCGCCATGTATGTCAGACGACCTTATAGGTCGCCATGTGATCCCGACGACCAAACTAGCGAGATTCTCTGTTGCCGCTGCTACAGCCTGCTCCCCTTCTGCTCGCCTGCTCCCCCGCTACATGTCGCTGCATGCCTCTGCTCCCATGCAACTATCATAGCTGCATTATTGCAGCGTGATTTGAGCTGCTTTTATGCAGTAATTATTGTTGCATTATTACATATGTTTGCAGCCCGTGATTTATACAATTATTGGTGAAATAATTGAAGCAATTGGGTATAAAATTTATATATAGGATGGGGTTAACACATGAAGCATAAAAGAAAGAAAGGGAGAAGAGATTTTGCCGAGAAAAGGAAATGAAGAAGAAGAAAGAGAAATAAAGGCTCAAACATCGTTCGTGAGGTAGTTTTTTATTATTTAAATTAGTTTATTATTTTAAATTATTAGTTTGTTAGTTTAGGGTTTAGGGTAAAACAAAAATTAGTTAATTAATTTGTTAGTTTAAGTTATACTATTGTTAGTTTAAGTTATATCATACATAAATAAAAAATTATTTAATTAGTTTTTTTATAGTTATATATTAAAAAAATTAATTAGTTGTTTGTTAGTAGTTAGTTATATATAAAAAATATTTAAATTTAATTAGTTTGTGTTAGTTAAATAGTTAAGTTATATTTATTTGTTGAATTTATATTATATAAAAAAATAGTTAATTAGTTTATTAGTAATATATTATAATTAAAAAATAGTTTATTAGTTTAAATTATATAAAAGAATTGTTTATTAGTTGTTTAAGGGCAAAATTCACGTTTAAGTTATATTTTAAAAAGTTTAGTTTGTTAGTTTATTAGTTTATTATATTATAAGTTATTATATAAATTTTTTTGTTGTGTTGTAATTAGTTAGTTAGTTAGTTAGATTATATTAAATAATTTTTTAAATATTGTTGTTTATTTTTTTTTACAGATTCATTCGAATGGCTGACCAAATTCCACTGCTGAGACTTGACAATAAACATATTTCAACTCATTTGGGAATAATAGTGTTATTCTTATTTAGTAAAATAAAATATTTGTTTAATGAATTATTATTATTAAATATTTGAATATTATTTTATGATTATGATAACTTTTTTGAATTATTTAATTGCAAGAGGACGAGCAGTGAGTCATTCGTCATCGGCTAAATATTCCGTCCAAGCCACATCGATTGATAGAAGAAAACTTGCAACAGGCTAGATTTTACTATGTAACATTTGTACGAGAATACAAGTTGGTTACATGTTTGATTAGTGCGTTGATTGAACGTTGGAGACCAGAAATGCACACATTTCATTTTTCGTGTAGAGATATATATAACTCTGGAGGATGTGGTAATGCAACTCAAGGTCCAAACAAATGGGATGCCGATGATAATGACAAATGAGTACAATAATGTGGAGTAACTTTGCAGTGCGTTTCTTGGGAAAATGCCAGTAATACCAGAGTGTAAAGGGTGGCGTGTGAAGTTGTCATGGTTGAATAATCAATTTCAGCTCCAACCAAATAATACGGAACAAGAAATTATATATGCAACACGAGCATATATATTACAGTTGATTGGGGGAATTTTGATGCCGAATAAATCCAATAATTTTGTTCACACTCAGTATATTATATTTTTAAGAAATTTTGTGAATAGTAGGCAATATAGTTGAGGATCGACGATATTGACGTTCTTGTATCGTGAGATATGAAAGGCATCATTAGTCGTGAATAATAATAATACAGCAGAAATCGGTGGATGTCTGATGCTGCTACAATCATGGGCTTGGCATAGACTTCCGTTTTTTGACACCGATTAGTCGGACTGCGGTTGATTTTCTACTTGCCGAAAGGTAATATGAATTCTCTATTTTAATATAAAATATTAATTATAAATTATTTATTTTAATTAAAAATATTGAACAAAATGGTCATATTTTTGTTTTGATTGATATACAGATGGAGGCATAAAATAGAAGGCAAGGGGTTGGTGCACAACAATATTAAATAATTTAGGCTGAAGATCGACGTTAAGGGCAAAAAGGAGGTATATATAATATGTTATTATTAATTATTATTTAATTTAACTATATTATTTTATTTAAATCAATTTTATTGTTATTTTAATTTTACAGTTTAATTGGAGACCATACGTAGATGCAGAAATTATGGCGTGTGTACCGCACGATGTTTTTGATGACTGTCAATATTGGTGTGTTGTTACACCATTGATTAATTTTGTTTTTGTTGAGATCTAATTTGCGGATAGAGTACTGAGGCAATTCGGCTTTCACCAACCTATTTCGCAGAGTCCATGGGATCATTATTATAATTTCATTATTATTAATTATTACTAAATCATTAGTATCAAATCATTATTATAATTTTATTATTACTAATCATTACTAAATCATTCGTATCAAATCATTAAATATTAATAATAAATCATTATTAGTATTCATTATTAAATCATATCATTACTAAATAATTAAATATAAAATAATTAAATATAAAATCACTATTAAATCATTATTATCAAATCATAAGACTAATATTTTAAATATAAAATCATTATTATCAAATCATTAATAAATCATATCATTACTAAATTATTAAATATAAAATTATTAATAGTAATCATTACTAAATCATATCATTATTAAAAAATAATTCTTTTAAATGATTTAAATATGTACAAATTTGAATTTGCTAAAATTTAAATGGTTAACGTTCGAATCTCTTTAAAATACTTAAATAGTCAGAGGAAGATTTCAACTAGTCCACACCTGTGAAGATAAATAATTTTTTAAATCAGATTGCTCAGTTTTGAAATTGAAGTCACATGTGAGCCTTTAATGCTCAACTACGACTAAAGCTAAGTTGAAAGCTAAGTTGACCGCTAAGTTATTTTTTTTAATGAAATAATGTTTCCTTTATTATAGATAGTCGGATGTAATAGATCATAAATAATTGTTGAATGAAAGCCACGTGTTTTGGTGCAATAATTCGATTTAAATTATATTAAATTGAATAAATTCAACTATTTATAAATAATAATAAGATAAAATATAAATAAAATATAAATAATTCAATTAAAAATGAACTTAAATATTATTAAAAAATATAAATTCGATTTAATAATTTTTAGTTATAAAACATAAATTCAACTTCAATTCGAATATTTAATAATTTAAGAAAAAAATTACATAAATTTCCTTGCAAAAATAGATTCATTATTACAAAATCAAATATATAAATACATAGAAATACATATATGATTACTAATGATGATGTCTATATCTTGGTAAATAAGAACATTTGTTTTTTGAATGGCCTTCACCCCTACATAATCCGCATCTCTTTAGTTGACCTCTCTCTAGCACGGAAATCCATACTGGTATGAATATGACCGGACTGAGGTCAACCATTTGGACTTCTACAAAACATTGGATTTGACAGCCATTCGTCATGATCCTTTTTGGGCCAATATGATTTATTTGGGATCTGCTTGAACGCATAGCTGTAGACGTTTAATATCTTATGTAGGTGAAAGCATTCATCAACATAAATGTATGCGCTTACACCATCTTACATACATGCAATGACTGCATGAGCACATGAATATTTTCATGCCTGAAAACGACCTTTAATATCCGACGTTACGACATATGCATGACACAACAAAAGTATGATTAACTCGGTCGAAACTATGAACAACCATTGATGTTGTCAATCGCTCATTTGCTTCCATTGCTTCCATCACTGTAGGAGCCCAAGTTTGACCTCTATTTATGAGACTCTCAATTTCCTTGCCTTTATTGGATCAAACCTTAGCCAACCTAAAGTACGTCTCTTTCACCACACTCGCTATTGAGAGATGACATGTACCTTTTATTATTGAATTAATGGCCTCAGCAAGGTCTGTGGTCATATGTTCGTATCGCCGACCTTCATCGTATGCTTACGACCATTTTTCCCTCGGTATTTTTAAAACCCACTTCCAAACACGCTGATCATCATAAAATACCTTCAAATTCTCCAATCTCTTATTAAAATTTGGTCGGCGTAGTTCGTATCCTGTTTCATAATATATTGTGTTAAACCGTAATTAAAAAACCACATAAAAATGCACAAATATTGAAAATAATACTTACTCATGTTGACTATCTCGCTACGAATGTGTGCGTTATACATGCAGAGGTATACATGACGTCCTCCATTGTGGGATAGGCGACCAACATGCATGGGCCATGCATAGCTTCAGCAGGACGCTGTGCATGCATGACGACCTACACCAGCTCACCTTCGTCGCCTGGAGCATTTGGCGACCTACGTGGGGACTGTAGAAATCACCCTATCTCAGCAATTAATCCTTCCAATGCATTATCCCGTGAATTATTTTTTTAAAAAACCATTATCTCGTCAATTTTTTCATTAAAATCTTTCAGAGTTCAGAGAATAGCATTGGCAGCACTTGCAATTCTAGGCCACAGATCAGCACACTGCTTTCCAATGGGACCAGTGATAGCAGATCCTGGAATACACCAAATCAAAGATCCCAAATAAGTTTCAAGAATCAAATCAAAGAACATATCACTTTCTACTAGAAAACTACAAACCAATAATAAAAAGCATTGTTAAAACCAGCCTAACAAATTTCATTACATCTATGGACTCCGCAAATGCAGATAAAACCATCATCTTTTCAAGTTATGTTTTGGGAAACCATCTAGAATCAGTAGTGACACTTCTCAGGTTCTATGTCAACTGAAGGGGCAGAAATTAGATTCCTTATGTGAATGATCACAGTCACGCATGTTAACTTGATTTCGCATTTGATACTGTAAGAGCAAGTGAACCAGAGATTCATTTGAACATAGCTAAAAGCAACATGAACAGCTGAACTTCAGCATTTAACCCCCACAATTCAACAGGCGTGCTTATCCTATTTGGATAATACGAAATAGAATGAAGAAGATGAGTGGGATAGTTTACCTTTCATTTCTCCCTTGGGATTGACAATGACACCAGCATTATCTGCATACATATGAATAAACCCAAATTAAGTTTTGAAATACTTTTAGCAACTGAATCAAATATACCAGCAGGCAAGTAAAACAATGCATAGCAAACAACCGGATCATGTTGTTTAAAACTGGCAAACTCTCATCATTTTATGCTGCCCGTTGAGAGTAACCAACAATGAAAATCAGCATCAAAAACAAATCAAAGATATAAACTTCAAAGAAAAAGGAACTGTGTGGACCTTCGAAGTACATGTACACGCCGTCCTTTCTACGCCAAGGTTTGCGCTGTTGGACAATGACAACTGGCAACACCTTCTTCCTCAAATCGAGCTTCCCTTTCTTGATGATGGCCATGACCATGTCGCCGACGCAAGCTAATGGAAGCCTGTTGAGACGGCCTTTGATCCCTTTGACTGAAATAATGTAGAGGTTCTTGGCTCCAGTGTTGTCGGCGTAGTTCACTGTGGCAGCCACCGATAAACCCAGCGACATCCTAAACTTGTTCCCCGCACTACCTCCCCTTCCTATTGCAAACTACGAGGATGAAAAAATTGGTGAAAAACTGTGGTTTCTGTTTGGCAAGCTTGAAAATGGATTGGAAAATGAAGGAGAATACGTTACCTCGCTTCGACATTTTGGATCGGCACTGTTATGCTTTTCTCTTCTTTTACCTGTGACGTACTCAGAAATTTATAAATGAGAGTTTAAAATTTTAATTTTTTTTTAAAAATAATGGATTACATTTTTTTAACATATTATATTAAATTTTACTTTTTTTTTAAATAATGAGATACTTTAGCCTGAGGAATTTCTCTATCACTATGTATATGCAGGCCTAGGGTTTTGACTTTTCTCGACACAAAAGTTAGGACGCAGCGTTTTATTCAAAAGTAATGCAAAAAATGACTGGAATTTACAATTTCACCCTTCATCCCCCGCTGAAAGAGGAGAGAGATAAGCAGTAAACTATTAGAACATTGGGAAAAAGAAGAAGGAATGCAGTGCATTCCACTCCCCATTTGTCACCTCCGGTTGCACACTCCACCCAAAACTTCCTTCAAATCGGCATGCCACATCAGCCCTAGGATATCCCTAGACCAGACAACAAAACCACCACCACCCCCACCCCCACCCCAACAACAACAATCGTCTCATTCTAATCAATAACATTTCCAAGCTCCTATGGGGTCCCTCCCTCCCTCCAGGGCTTCTAATCTCCAATGTCAGTACGGCGTGGACATCCACGTGGCAGCTAATGATGTCCCAATTGGCTCCCTCCGATCCCTCTGGCGGCTACACGAGGCCTCCCTCGTGTTCCACCTCTCCCACCAATTCCCAACAACCACCAAACTTCACCTCTACGTGGGCTTACCATGCCCGTGGGCCCACCGAATCCTTATCGTCCGATCATTCAAAGGCCTCGAAGAAGCCATCCCCGTCTCCGTCGCAGCCCCCGGCCCCGACGACTCCTGGGAATTCGGAGATTTCCCCCACCAAGAAGAGTGGAGACGAGGGTACCCTCGTTCCAACCAGGGATAAGATTAACGGATGTCGGAACTTGAAGGAGGTTTATGGGCTGAGAAAAGGTTGGTACAACGGGCGGGCCACGTTGCCGATGCTATGGGGTGTGGACCGGAAAGAGGTAATCTGCAATGATAGCTACGATATCATTGAGTTCTTCAATTCCGGTATAAACGGGTTGGACCAGAACCCGGGTTTAGATCTCTCACCGGCGGAGCTAAAAGGGTAGATAGAAGAGTGGAATCTAGTAATTAACCCCAATGTTAATAATGGGGTTTACAGGTAAAAACTGAAACCTGAATTGTTTTTAATCTTTGAATGTTTATATAAATTGAGATGATGTGTTGTAGATGTGGGTGTGCTCAAAGCCATGAGGCATATGATGTTGCAGTGAATGGTTTGTTTAATACTCTGGATAAGATGGATGATCACTTGGGTGGTTCAAGGTACCTGTGTGGAGACAGACTGACTCTTGCGGATATTTGTTTGTTTACGACATTGATTAGGTTTGATGTTGTCTACAATGTCCTGTTCAAATGCACCAAGAAGAAGCTGCACGAGTTTCCGAATCTTCATGGCTACATGCGTGACATTTATCAGGTACCAATAACAAACCAAGAGCTTTTTACATAATTTCTGCAACTTGACTAATCTAGGGAAGCAGTTACCATCAGATAGACAATTAAGCTGAAACCCATAGTTGCCCTTCTGCTGCCACAGACTGTAGGGCATCCTGAAACGTGCAGTGTAAAAACTAAATATATTTTTCTTGTTTATCAGATTCCAAAGGTTGCAGCTACTTGCAATTTTCCGGAAATTATGGATGGTTATTACTGGATTCTTTTCCCATTGAACCCTGGCAGCATTCGACCAGTTCTGCCCTCTGGCTGCGACCATGAATCCCTCTCCAGACCTCACAACAGGGAATCAATGTCAGCGGAGGATCAAAGGGTGCAGTGTGTTGCCTAAATGGAGTCCTATGACATTTATAGTTGTATGATATGTACTTTTAACCGTAAATATATATTCATCCACGGAGAAATCATCTGAAATCTTCTACCACTATTTATTTGTTTCTCTTTTTTGGGGGTTTCACCGCCCGTCAATTAATCAACTAATCCAAATCGGATATTGTAGTGTTATTCAAATCGAAACAGAAAAAACACTGCTTGGATCGAGAACTAATGACCTAATCAGTCTATTACAAGCCCATTAACTTGAATGAGACTCTGTTTTACATATATTTCCCAAAGTAGATAAGAAGGGGGGGAAAACTGTAAATCAAAAACGGAAAAAAGTCTCCATGACCAAAAATCAGCTCATCTCATTGCAAATTTAGACCCTGCACCAGAGAAAGAAAGATAATTTGTATGGATATCTTGAAAGTGCCCTCATGCAGATTGCTGCCTATTTCATAGTGAGTTAATATAGCATTATTAAAGTTCAAGTTTAACTTCCTCTTGCATAGACAATAATAATGCTCTACAAAAGCTTTCATCATGAAAGATAAAAAAAAAATTCAAAATTGTGTATGGATTTTGGGGTTGTAGATTCAAATTCACAGGGTTAATATACTCAAATCAACCAACAGGTTCTACATGACCGAAGTACTTACTAGTTGAGCGTTTCATGTTCCTGCAAAACTTACTGCCACATCTGCACTGGAACGTCTTGACAGGATGGTCAAGATCATCAAAGTCAATGCCATAATCCTGCATTAAAAAATGTGTACGTTTTAACAGGACAAACATTACTACATTATAATACATGAATAGCGATACCCAGTTTTCTTCTCAAAACACATGAAACATAAAAGTCCATCTTTTCTCGGGCAAAATCAACAATCTGATCATTACTTCCATTTTTCTTTTTTAATCTTATAAAATGCAACAAATAGCAACTACAATATTCAGAATAATTCAACTTATGATGAATCACTCACCCAAGTCAGCTCTTCAAGCGGATTAACATCTCTTGTTGTGAAGAAAGCGAACTACATGCAATAAATGCTCAATTAGACTTTCTATTGATAGAATTTAAGACAGCGAAACAAATTGGACAATGGGGGAAAAAGAAATTAGTTCATACGTGATAGTAATGAAGATCTGGAGTCTCCACTTCAACAGGAATCTCAATCAAGTTTGCATCTAAGCATCTAGTAACATAAGAAAAAAAGAATAAGATATCTTTAATCTCAGCTTAAAGTTGTTCAGATATTCCTATACACTTGTCATCATGTACATTAACCATAATGGTAATCAAAACAAAACCTCAATCATGGAAATCATGTTAATGTTGCAGGTGACCTCTTCACATATCCTAATCTAATATCTCAACTAATGCTTGTACAGAAAGAAAATTCAACTAATCAGCCAGCTTAAACCATCTATGGAAACTTCTTGATGTCATCAAAGTCTATTACTAATGTCACAAAAACACACAACACAGGAACAGATGCACAAGCAAATAACCAATTGCATTTTTTTGAACTCATAAGAAATAGGGGCACAGAAAGTCAAATATACAACATACATGCATACATACAATTACCTATGATTGATAAACCTAGCAACATTTCCATAACATGTGGCATCCAAACAGAGGGCTTCTTCTTCCTTAGAAACTCCCTGCAACCCCCAGTTAGCATCCAGCAGGACTGGAGATGTATGTTTCTCTCTGTTCCTCGCATACAACTCAGAGATGGTGAGTATTTCTCCAACAAACTCACAAACAAAAGCTCCTTTGGGAAGCTTCTCTAGAGTTCTTAGACCCCAACCCCTTCCATCAGGTGTTGAAAACACCTAACATTCAGAGAAAACTAGTCACAGAAGACGTGGGTTTACAAAAGAAAATTCAAAGGTTAATGTCTTCATCTTGAAAGAAACTTAAGATAACAAGGACCAGAAATTGTACAAGACCAGGATGAACCAAACCTGTAATTTGCAATTTACACCTCTCTGCACCACCTGGTTGCCGCACTGCTTATTGCACCCACATTTGCTCCAACACTCTTTTATAACTTTTCTCTTCAAGTGACCCTTACAAGGCTCTGGAAAGTCATCCATTTTTTATCTCTCAAGGGGGCATTCTGTACAAGTGAGAAGACATTGTTTTTGGGGATCACGAGTCATAGAGATGCACTCTTCCAAGAAGTTTTCCTTGATAACACCTGCCGCGGTATAAGCAAAATTTCCACCAGCTTGACAAGTACATGCACAAGGCTTCTGGTACAAGAGACAATCTCCGAGACATGTAGGGCAGCATCTTTCATCTCCAATTCGAAAAAGAGAAAAACTAACATGGGCATTTTGAAATACCAAGTTTTCTGAAATATATTGAAACGGTGGAGGAGTCTTTATTAATTTCATTTACCCATGAAATTTCAACATTTTCTTCACCCTTGGTTATGTCACTTGCATCATGAAGACACCTTAGTTCATTAGGTGTAAGATGACGCTGTGGAGCAACCACCAATTCCTCTCCCCCAACATTGTCCACAAATCCATTTGCAGAGCAGTGATTATTGGAAGATCCATTTAAAAGCCTTGCTACCAAACACCCATTCCCCTCAACATTCTCAACATCACAAGAATCCTTTGCAGGAGATTTCTTCAATACATCAAGAGCAAGCCTCTCATTACCTTCCTTCAATTATGATAAAACTTAGTTGCCAATTCCATGAAGCACTTACAAATATCAGTCAGAATTTTGATAACACCCAAATTTTGGTCAATGAGTTTATAAGATTGGAGACATCACTGCTCCAGCAGTTCTTAGTTAATCTACATTAGGCAACTGGAAATTTGGCCTTCCAAGAGCATAATTGTAACTTACTGAAATCTGCACCTCACCCGGAGGTGATGAGGCAATCTCTAATGCAGAAGGAATTTCATCAGGATCAGTAGCTAGCTCACAACTGGTATGCCTTGCACTCACAGAAGCTGAAGCACTAGCACCTGCAATTTCAGCTGCATGCATGAACTTCAGTTAAAAAATCCTCAACTAGAAAATCTCCTCCACATAATGAATCTACAAAAAATGTGTTACAGTAAAATAAATAAAAGAATAAAAATGTAGAAAAAAACAACTCAAGAAAAGCATCAATTACAACTTTAATATTTTTTTGGTATTAAAATATATATGTGCTAACAACTGGTTGTTTTGTTACAAGAGTCCAACAGCCCATAAAGGTTACAAGCCCAGATGAAAATTGCAGAAAAAGCTTCAGGGTAGTCCGAATACATAACAAATATTGGCCCATGAGCATTGACCCAAGGAAAACTAGGGTTTCCAACTTTAGTCTCCAACGCCGTCAAATAGATACCATCAGATTTGAAAGAAATCCAACGACACAAGACTATCTAAAAGTAGGGTTTCATATCCCTTATCCAGCACAGTTAAAATGCTGATTAGCACATTCTCTGT